TTTTCCCAATCTGTAGGTTCTCTTTTGACTCTTTTGGAGAAGTCTTTGGAAGCACATAAAAATTTAATTTTTAGAAGGTCCCAATCATCTGGCTTCTGACATTTCTAGTTTTAACTGGAGTTAAACACGTCATCTTTAACATACCTTTGGACCTCTAGCCAATAGACTGTCTAGGGAAGATACATTGAGAATGACCTGAGGATATTGTTTAAAATATTGATTCTTTAACTCTAACTTAGTTTCATTGAATCAGAATTCCAGGTGGTGAGAACCAGGAATCTGTATTTTTAACAAATCTTTCCTGGGGGTTCTACATGCCAGAGTGTGAACTTTAATTAGCTTATGAGCAGAAACTTTGCTGAGAAGTTGTTGATGGGTGGGCTCCTTGTAGATGGCCAAACTTGACAAGAGAGTGCAGTCTGAGTTGAATAAGTTAATCAAATGCTAAGTAAGCTGTTTGTTGCCTGGTCAGCAGTTCAGCTAATAGGCTGAAGCTGTTTAGGGCACAAAGTTTAATGAAATCACAGGTAGTGCCCCTTTGGGCCAATTATTTGACTTGTTCCTTGGCCACAGGCTTCAGCTAGCATCTTTATCCATAAGGAAATGGTGAGAAAATGCAGTATAGTTTATTCCACATTCACTGGCTCTACTATTTACTGTATGAGTTTGAGGAAGCCTCTGCTGTTCCAAGCTTTCATGATTCTTAGTACGTACACAGGGCTAATAACCGTGGGAAGAACAAAAGAGTTGATGTGCCTGGCTTGCAGTACCAGGCCCAAACCAAACCCACTGCTTTCAGGTGGATTCAACTCATAGCAACCTTAATGGACAAAGTAGAACTAACACAGTAAGGCTTCCAAGGCTGTAAATATTTACAGAAGCAGACTGCCACATCTTTCTCCATCAGAGCAGCTGGTGGTTTGAACAATGACCTTTCAGTTCGCAGCCCAGGGATTAACCACTGCACCACCGGGTCTTCTTAGCTTGCAGTCAGCATTCAATAAAAGGTAGCTATCACCAGTGATTGATGTTAGGGCAAACGATGTCCTTGGTAGATGACTTGAGGTACAAGCCCTGGGCTGGAACAGTGGCTCTGTTCATCTAAGACAGCAGGATTAGAAAGTGACAGCCTGAGATTTATTTGACTTCTTGGGCTTGTATGCAGTTGTTTCAGCAGGAAGAAGTGTTAACGTTTCCTGTGGACAGTCTCCTCATTCATCTTTTATCTCTTTATCAGAGAATGCTATCTCTTTCCTCCTTTCTTTCCTTTTTCCTCTGTCACTTTGTCTAGAAGCTCCTTCTTTACCCCTGGAATTCCTAGTAACCCTCTCTCTGAATGCTTCCTTTTGGCAAGACCTGAGTTCCTCTCAGCAATTTGGCTAGATCCTCTGTGTAAAATTTCCTTCCCTTCCACTTTTCTATTTATAACTTGACCTCATTTGGCTTAGTTGTGGCAGCTTCTCACTCAGCTAGGCTTGTTCCTTAGCCTAATATCATGGCTTCTGTGGTTTGACTTTCAGAGCTGAGATAGCTATTGAACTCTAGTAAATGGATGTCCCCAGACTTAGTTTAATCTTGAATAAGACTGAGTAGTTCAGAAGTAGTTTAGATGTTCAGAAGTTTAATTCTTCTATTGACAAATCTAAGACACAAATTAGAAAAACATTGATGGCAATCGTGTGTGTGTGTGTGTGTTCCTTCATTCTTGTGGCTCTTTTTGAACCTCTATATCTCAGCAGACATAAAAACGGGCAAAGTACAAAAACAGATGATTCATGAAAGTAAATAAACCTTAACAAATAAGGGAAAATGTTCCACTTTACTAGCTATTAAAGAAATGTAAACAAAAGTACTGCCTTTTAAAAACCTATTAAATCAGCAGATATTTTAAAAAGATAATATTCTGTGCCAATGACAGTATGGTGAAACTTACCATGTTCCTGGTAGGAGAAAAATAACTTGTTACAATTGCTCTAGAAGCAACTGGTGCTAGGAATCAAATTCTGACCTATTCTCACCCTTTCCCCTTTCTGACCCAATTATTTCATTTCAGGGATCTTTTCTAAGAAAATGTGGCAGATTTTAAATGATCAGTTTGAAGATATTTATCATAGCATTATTTAAGATGCTAAGCTTAGAAATAATCTAAAAACCCACACTAGAGCCACCAACTGGTTGGCGACAATAAGGTGTGATGGTTAAGGTTGTATGTCACCTTGGCTGGGCCATGATTCTCAGTAGTTTGACAGTTATGTAATGGTGTAGTTTGGTAGTTATACACTGATGTAATTGTCCCCATGATGTGATCTGATGGGATCAGCCAATCAGTTGTAAGGAGAGTTTCCTTGGGGATGTGGCTGGCATACAACTATAGACAGATGATAGGACAGATAGACAGAGATGGAGATAGATGCTCTGGCGATGCTCATCTGCTAGCTCTGGATCCTGCATCTGGCTCCTCATCATCTGATGTACGTTTCTCAGGATTCATCAGCCTCTGCAGCCTGTGAGCTAGCAGCCTGTCACTGGATAGGCTGATCTGGGATTCATCAGCCCCTGCAGCTACATGAGGCAGGAGAAACCTCCAGCCTGATGTCTGATCCACAGACTTGAGACTCACCATCCTCTACAAGGGTGTGAGCCATTTCCTTGAAATAAAGCTATATAGATAGATAAGAAATGATAGATAGACAGACAGACACTTCACTGCTTTTGCCTCTCTGGAGAACCCAGCCTAAAATATTTGACACCTCACATGGGGTTAATTTGCCAAACTCTAGCACAATTATCAATAAGTCTAGAGTTACTGAGAGTTCTTCCTTGCTAGTTACAATCAGCATAATGTCATCAATGTAATAGACCAGTGTGACAACTTATAGAAGAGAAAGATGATCAAGGTAACTGAAGACTAAATTATGACATAGGGCTGGAGAGTTGATATACCCTTAAAGGAGGACAGTGAAGGTATATTGCTGGCCTTGCCAGCTGAAGGCTTCCCTGGATGCAATGCCTCTGCCAAAACTGTCATCCATGGACTCACAGAATGCCCTGTCCACTGTCATGGGATCACACACAGCAGCCTCAGATCAAGGGAGTCACATCACAACATATGAAGTTCAGCTCAAACTCATATAATTCACTGGTCTTACCATGTTCCCCATAGTCCTAAATCAGCTGACTTGACAGAATGATGGAACAGCCTCTGAAGACCCAATTATAGTGCCAGCTAGATGGCAACACGTAGCAGGGTTGGGGCAGTAATTCTCCAGAAGATTGTATGTTGCTCTAACCAGTGTCCAATATATGGTCTGTTTCTTCCACAGCCAAGATTTATGGTTCCAGGAATCAAGTCTTTGCCAGGTCTTGATTATATGCTTCACTGGTTTTGCCCCTCTGGAGAACCTTGCCTGAGACATTAGGCCACTGAAATCTCTACGTAGAAGAAACAATGGCATAGAAATGTTTATATATGAGATTGAGGAAGGAAGCAGAACACCAAACACACTGTGTTATGGAACAAACATAACTCTGTAAATTAACTTTTTGTTGTTAGGTATCATTGACTTGGTTCTGACCCAGACCCACTCAAAGTGACCCTATGGTACAACAGAATGAAACAATACCCAGTCCTGTGCTATCTTCACAATCATTGCTATGTTTGAGCCCATCGTTGCTGCCAGTAGGTCAACTCAGCTCATTGAGGGGTTTGTCCTTTTCACTGACCTTCTACTTGACCAAGCAGAAGGTCCTTCCCCAGGGACTGGTCTCTCCTGATAACATGTCCACAGTATGTGAGATGAAGTCTCATCATCCTCGCTTCTAAGAAACATTCTGGTTGTGTTTCTTCCCAGATAGATTTGTTTGTTCTTCTGGTAGTCCATGAATATTCAATACTCTTCACCAACAACACCATAATCCAAAGGCATCAATTCTTCTTCAGTCTTACTTATTCATTGTCCAGCTTTCACATGCGTATAAGGTCACAATACCATGGCTTGAGTCAGGTGCACCATAGTCCTCAAAGTGACATCTTTGCTTTTGAACATTTTAAAGAGGTCTTTTGCAGGAGATTTGCCCAATGCAATATATCATTTGATTTCTTCACTGCTGCCTCCATGGGCATAGATTGTGTATCCAAGTAAAATGAAATCCTTGACAACTTCAATTTTTTCCCCATGTATTGTGATGTTGCTTATTGGTCCAGTTATGAGGATTTTCATTTTCTTTATGTTAAGGTATAATCCATACTGAGGGCTGTAGTCTTTGATCTTCAGCAGTTAGTGCTTCAAGTCCTCTTTGCTTTTAGCAAGCAAGGTTGTGCCATCTGTCTGCATATGGCAGGTCACTAATGAGTCTTCCTTCAATTCTGGATAACTAAGAAAGGAAGTATTAATGGTTGGTAATGGTATTTGTGAGATGATATTATTAATAACTCATATTTTGATTTTGTTCTATATTTTTTACAAACATGCATTTCTTTTACTCTAGGGAAGCCCAATGCAGGATTTGCCAAAATGTGTTCATGATTCAATATAGGCTGGCTGTGATTACCTAGGTCTTTAGTTGGTCATGTAATGTGGATCGCTCCATATTGAAGGCTTTCTCTGAATGCCAACATTGCAACATTGCCATAGGTGGTCACATACTCCAGCACCTAAGCACCTAACCACCTCTGTTTTGTAGCACTTCCTAAATTTTTCTCATGTATTTTATGAGACTTTCTCTGCCTTTGAGAACTGAATACTTACTATCTTTAAACTTCCTGGACACATAAGAGAAGTTCAGATTCTTGCTGGATTTATCCTTTGTGTCTTGCCTTTTCCTAATCTTCTTCTACCTTTCTTGCTCCAAAGGATTTACAACTGCAGCTTATTTTATTTATTTATTTATTTTTGTAGACAATGGGCCCTGCTTAGGATACAGAAAACCAAACCAGCCCTACAGATGGCTGTCCTACAAACAGGTAAGTCAGGCCTATGGTTTTGGAGAGATTCTTTTGCTAATGCAGTACCCTGAGCTAATTTGATCTCTTTTGGGTCTTATTTCTTTCTTTATTTATTTTTCCTCTTTTATAGGTGTCTGATCGAGCAGAGTACCTGGGCTCCTGCCTCTTGCATAAAGGATATAAGCCATCACCAGACCAATTTGTTGGCATCTTTGCTCAAAATAGACCAGAGGTAATCATGTTGAATTTAACTCAGTGAAATTAGTCACAGCTAAGTCTAAAGACTGTAACGTCACTCACAATTGTCAGAATGTCCAGCATGCTGACAATTGCTGATGACTTATCAGAGCTTCTTGAAAATCCCAAGAGACTGGTATTCTTCGATTTGAAAACATTACAGGTCAGGGCCTCCTTAATTCATGACTAAATGTCAGTGCTCTAGGCTAGGTATCTACACTTCTCTTATTCCCAACTCATCATTAATGGGTCATTTCATGTCTGTGTGATTGTGAGATGAGGACAAAAAGTAAGCCATAAAGGACTGACAAATAAGATTCTGAAAATACGGTATTAGAGTTGGAATTCGGAAGTTGTACTTGGACTAGTAAACCACAGCACCTAGTACGACTGTCTATAGTTATCTTTCACAATGAGCTGGAAGCATACTCTAGACAATAAGATGATTAATATGCAACTTATCTCCTAGTCATTAGGCACAATATCCTCAGAGAAAGTCTTTGTATGATTTATAGTAGTTGGATGACATATGGCCACTAGAGTCAGGTTGCTTAACCCCCTAATCTGGGATTTCATCTTTTACTGTTTTAGGTGAATCTACATACCTTGTCTTTGTTATGTCCAGCCACCACGAGAAGATATATACCTAGCTCTAGTTTAGGAACTTAATCCCAAACTTCAACTGACAGTGAAGGCCCAGTATCAGCAGATTCTGACCCATCTTTCCAGTGCTATTTCCTGTCACTCTTCATGATTCCTGGTGTATACATAGTGATATCACATGCTATCCTATCTATCTTTGTTCCTTCACTTCCTTCATCCTTGAATGGCCTTTTCTGCCTCTGTCTCCATAATCAAATTCTACCAGTCCTTCAAAGCCCTGCCTAATTTCTATAAATTCCCTGAAAGCAGTCCCAGATAGCTTTACCCTAAGCTTGAAGGTGATCTCTGCCTCCTTTACTCCTGACGCTTTCTGTACCTGTTACCACCCTCTACCTTTATACTCTGCTCTACATTTGTATTGTAGTTATCTCTGTTCCTATCATCTCACTCTTAGTTAATTCTATATGGCTTTGTAAAGTGGGAGCTCTGGTGGCATAGTGCCTAAGGCATTTGACTGCTAACCAGAAGGCTGGTGGTTCAATCCCATCAGCCACTCCTCGGAAGGAAGGTTGGGCAATCTACTTCCATAGTGATACCACCTCGGAAAACCAAGGAGAGGTCACTAGGAGTTGGATCCAACTCCACGGCAGTGATTTTGGTTTTCATAAAAGTATCTGTGCAAGTCCCTATGGCTTACATAGTGATTTTATTTTATTTTATTTACCAAATAGGCATTTGTTGATTGAATGGCTGAATTAATATCCTTCCTTTTCAAAATGCTCTCTGGTCCTTACTTGAACTCTCTTCATACAGTGGATCATCTCTGAGTTGGCCTGTTACACATACTCCATGGTAGCTGTCCCTCTGTATGACACCTTGGGAGCTGAAGCCATCATATACATTGTCAACAAGGGTAAAGCTTTGTTTTTGCAATACAACTCAGTTGTTTCTTAATAATGTCTAAGTCCTCAATCTCTGCTTTTGTTAGCAGGTTTGAATGCTGTGGCCAGAAAATGCTTGTGTTTGTAGTACTTAGGATATAACATATAGTGAAGTTACAAAAAGCCCACAAGGTGGGCAGATATGCAGATAGAAGTTTCAATAAAATGCTTCAAAGTGGCATAGTATGACAGTAGAGACAAGACTACTTATTTTGGCCACACTGGGTATAAGCCATAGGTAAGCTAAATCGATTAAGGCATTGTGAACCACAGATTTAATTCTCTTCCCTTGTGGGCCCAAGAAAGTATGGTTAGCTAGCATGCACCTATATTCATGTGAGGCTTCTGGAACATTTTTATTACACACAGTTAGAGAAACAGATCCAAGTTCAGGACCACATGATAGCCCTTTCACATATCCAATACATTAGTTTCTGTCATGGAACTAGACTCACTCCTCACTTATTGACATGGTTAGTTTCCAAGACTAGGTCACTGTGCAAAATTTGGCATTACGGGAAAATGGAGGATGACCTCATCAGATTACAAAATGGAGGATGAGTACATCATTACATAACTGTCAAACCACTGAGATTCATGGCCCAGTCAAGTAGACACATAACATTAACCATCACAGCCAGCATTACACTCACCTCACAACTCGGCATTCATTGGTGCCAGAGAAACATCATCAATACACAAAATAGTCAGAAGTAGATTTTTCACTGTTGTCATTAATGGGTAATGTTGGGTAATAAGATAGTCAATAAGCAATGAGTAAGTGTAGTGGATTAAGTGAGTAGATTCATTTGAACCATAAACACAATCAGAAGTTTTCTATTTGTGCAAATAAGTATCAAAAGCAAATGTTAATGTTTAGAATCAGAAAATGCTTATCTCCTAAAATCCCATTTTTTGTCCTTCTTCCTCTCCTACTCTCTACCCCTTTCCAGAAGTAAAACATGTTTGTAAGACCACACCTAACTGATAAATGTTGTCTAAGTGACCATTCATAAGGTGTGGCTCTTCTTCAGATCAAATGTGTTGCCAGCATGAATGAAATCTGTATGCTACTGTTTCAATTAAGCTCATTTGTTATCAATTATAAATCTTATGTGCAGACATAATCTCCTCTGGGGGATCCTAGCTTGAAATTTAAAATAAAATAAAGGAAAAGAAAATTCTCTTCCTCCTTGTAGGCAATTGGGTACATAGCAGAGTGGTGGTGGGGGGGGGGGCGGTAAGAGGTGACCTTTGGCTCTATTTCTGCTTTCAGCTGATATTGCCACAGTCATCTGTGACACACCCCAAAAAGCATCAGTACTATTAGGGAATGTGGAAAAGGGTCTCACCCCAGCTCTGAAGATGATCATTCTCATGGACCCTTTTGAGGAGGACCTAAAGCAAAGAGGGGAGAGGATTGGCGTTGAGATCTTATCCTTGTTTGATGCCGAGGTACGGTTCTGGCGTTGCAGTTCAGAGCATGGTCTGACGCCATGGGCAACTTACAGGGCTTCTACACACAAGCACAGGGCTGTTATCCCCAGTGGTCACATGAGAAGAGTTATACCATGTCTGAGAAGACTCATAGCCTTGGGAGAAGTTTCTTCAAGGCCACAAGAAACCTATGCTAGTGAGTAAAAAGATGGGAGGATGACATGCACAGATTTATAAGCAGATAATTTATACATGAAGACAGTAGCATTTAGTAGTAATTACAGATATGGGTTCTGTGGCCCAGAATCTCAACCCCAGGAGGGCAGATCCCAAAGTGTACTCGTGGAAAAGGGAAGAAAGTGATGATATGTCAAAAGTCTGTCCATCTCAGCTAATGTCTTTCTTGGCTTTCTGTTCATGTAGAATCTAGGAAAAGAGAACTTCAGAAAGCCTGTGGTAAGTTTTCTCTGACTGAATTTGAGTCTTGCCATATTCAGCTTTCAAAGCTCATGATAGATTCAGCCATTTCTTTCCCCCACCAGCCTCCTAAACCAGAAGACCTGAGTATCATCTGCTTCACCAGTGGAACCACAGGTCAGTGCCCATGAAACTGTTCCAGAAGTCAGCCAAAAGCATGTCTTGAGTCCCCAGTCACTACCATGAGCCCTATCCTTAGAGGTATAAAACCTCAGACTTTTGAGTGTGGATGTCCAGAGAGAAAAATATAAATGTAAGTAAATAAACTGCACTGAATACACTGGGAGGTGCTTATATCCAACGGACTCCAGGAGTCTTAAAGAAGCCCTCAGAAAGCCAACTTTCTTCTCCAACCCACTACTCTCTCTCTCTCAAGTTGATAACATTGGGTGATTTCATTCCATCAAGAGAATCCAGAGGCAGGGCAGATTGATCCCACAAATAACTGTGACCCTACTCTACAGTTACTCTCTACTAGAACTCATAATAATTTTTAATGTGGCCCATGATGACCTACAGTTGTATTCATTCTATTATTCTCAGTTTATAAGGTAATGACTAGGTAATATTGCTAGATCTGAAGTCCCCAAAATGAAAATAGCACAAAGGGTTTCCTTGGATTTTTGTTTGTAACTGTGTTGCTGTCTGGAATCATGGCTGTGTGCTGGATGGCAGTAGGAGGCTAACAATGCTTTTCATAGTAGAATCCTTATGGGCCATAAATCACTGATAAATAGTCAAACACCATCTATAAAAATATGTAGTCCCAGAAAAAGCTTTTGGCTCTGAAACAGAACTAATTTAATCTAGCTTCTTGTTTTAAGGCCAAAGGCTACTATCAGCTATGTAAGATTGTTCTCTCCACTTCTTGTCTCCTACAGGTGACCCCAAAGGAGCCATGCTGACTCATCTAAATATCGTTTCTAATGCTTCCTCTTTCCTCTATCGTGTAGAGGTCAGTTGCCAACTGAAAGAAAATGTGAATCTATATTAAATGTTTTATTCTTGAAGTTAGAAGAGGCAGAGCAAAAACCAGCAGGTTAATGGCAGATGTAGTGTGGACAAATGTAGTGTAGTCTTTGTTGTGGGGGCTGTGCATTTTCAAGTCTTGGCCTTTTTAGGGCCACTGAAAATGTCTACACTTGACACAGTTAAAGGCACCTATTAGAATTATACAATGGAGCTCTGGTGGTGCAGTGGTTAAAACATTTTGCTGCTAACCAAAATGTCAGTGGTTCTAACCCACCAGCTGCTCCATGGAAGAAATATGAGGCAGTCTGCTTCTGTAAAGATTTAGAGCCTTGGAAACACAATGGGTGTGGCTATGAGTCAGAATCAACTTGATGGCAGTGAGTTTAGTGTTGGTTTTATTAGAGCTACACAGTGTACTACTTGCACAACTGTATGTGGCAGGCCTAGGAAGGGATAGTTTTAAAATTTCCTTTGGAAGACAATGTGGACATTAATCCAACCAATGCTGTCTCTGTTCCTTGATGTATAGGATACTTTTTTCCCCTGCCCTGAAGATGTGAGCATATCGTACCTCCCCTTGGCTCATATGTTTGAGAGGATTGTGCAGGTGAGCCTCCTATGTCCCTAGCAGGTATGTGACAAGAGAAGTCCTGACTTGCTAGTCCCATTAGTGACCATTAAAGGCATGTCCTAGGTAAATGGGCAGTGTTTTTTTTTCCTTAGTGCTACATAATGATGGTATCTTATAATAGATGATGTCTTTGACTATCATCCAGAACCTTGGTGCAGTCAGGGTGGGTCACAGCCTCACAGTTAAGCTTCTTACCTGTTCTGTCACCTCAGATTGGAATTTTCATCCTTTCTTGGGACTAGGCTCTGAGTACTGGTACTTGGAGTAGGTATGAATTTGTGCAGAAAGAAGTGTCTGAGAACCTCAGCCTACTCCCTCAATCCTGTCCAAGACAGGCCCCATTTGAATGTGGTCCTTTGGCTCTGAGCCTTGCTATTGGCTTCTGTTTTTAGGCTGTTGTGTACGCCTGTGGAGCCAAAGTTGGGTTCTTTCAAGGAGATATTCGGTTGTTACCTGACGATATGAAGACTCTGAAGCCCACGGTGTTTCCCACAGTGCCACGACTCCTTAACCGGGTCTACGATAAGGTACTAACTTTGCTTTTACTGGGCTGGCCTGGAGGTGAGGGACCATTCATGGCTTAACCAAAAAAAAAAAAAAAAAAACCCAAACTCACTGCCATCGAGTCAATTCCAACTCATGGCGACCCCCATTGGGTTTCCAAGGTGGTAAATCTTCATGGAGATAGATTGCCCAGTCTTCCTTCCATGGAATAGCTGGTTTGAACCACCAACCTTCTGGCTAGTGGTCAGATGCCTTAGGCACCACGCTACCAGAGCTCCTTATCCATGGCTTGTTGTTATTGTTGTTACGTGCCGTCGAGTCAGACCCGACTCATAGCGACCCCTTCTTGGGCACTATCACTACAGAAGTAGATTGCCCCATCTTCCTTCTGAGGAGTGGCTGGTGGGTTTGAACCACCAGCCTTCTGGTTATCAGTCAAGTGCCCTAGCCACTATGCTACCAGAGCTCCCATCCATAGCTTAGGCCTGCCCAAAAGTCCTTAAGGAATCTGTACCACTAAGAGATTTGCTCCACTCCACCCCATTCCTACAAGCATCTACTTAAAAATGATACTTACAAAAGAAAAAAAACACTTCACTGCCGTGGAGTCAATCCTGACTCTTAGCAACCCCTCCTTGGGTTTCCGAGGCACTATCTCTACAGAAGTAGATTGCCCAATCTTCCTCTCAAGGAGTGGCTGGTGGGTTTGAACCACCAGCCTTCTGGTTAGCAGTCAAATGCCTTAGGGACTATGCTACCAGAGCTCCTTACAAATATATCCATGAACTACCATAACAAATGAAAACACCTTTCTTCTATATATTACTTAGACCTCCTATGAAGAAAAAACTCAATTCAGAGACCAAGGGAATCCCTCAAATTTAATCTGACTTAATGGGAAATTTTTGCCCTGATTTTGTAATAATGGTTACTGAGTATCTTGCTGAGGTGCTAGGCCCCATGAAAACCCTGTATATGACTTCTCTCATTTAATCCTCACAAAAGTGCAGGGAACCATATCAATGCTTACTATCTATACCTTACAGATGAGGAAACTGAACCTACGAGTCTAAATAACTTGTCCAGAGTCATATCTAATCATGGGGGAGGTGATTAGAATTAAACTGTCACATAAGAAGTTATCTTTGATCACTGCTTGATTTTGCATTAGGGAGTACAAAATGGTGATTTTTCTATCATTCCTCTTGCATTTATTAGCTGAGATTCTTCCATAACAACATGACAAGTATTTGATTCTTTCTCTTTATTGTTCTTCAGAATAATGAATAGGTGTCCCAACCATCGTCAAAAGTGACCAGTGAGATTGTGTGTGTGTGTGTGTGTGTGTGTGACATAATGAACTCATAATTTTCATATTTGTACATTTAATCCATTTTGGTTATGTTTCTTGCTGTTCAAATGGTCCCATCTTGGAAGCTGGGAGCCCCATCAAATTGCTTATGTGTCCATTTGGAATGATCCCAATAGTCTTTGATAGCTTCTTTGAGTTGTAGCACAATAAGATGTCTCAAGTTCATTTTGTGTGTTTCTTGTCCCAGTCTAGGATTGGCTATTTCTCCAAGGAGCCCCTAGAACTAGGATTTGAACCCAGGCAATATAATTACAGAACTGAGGCTCTTAATCATCTGATAATTGCGCAGGGATGGTGCCCTGAGGAGATCACACGTGGCCATTCTTCGTGTTCTTTGACCCCTACCCTCAGATTGTAACATTTCCTTTTCCTCTAGCATATTTAACCAGTGAATGAACCAGGGCTTCAGTGAGTGTTGGCTAGCTCAAACAGAATTCTAGAACACAGATGGCCCATGGACACTGAGAGACCTGGTTTCTAGCAGAAATAAACCATCATCATATGGAATTATTCAGTTTGGTTGTTGCTGTAGTTTTTATTTGTGTTGTTGATATGTTTCTATTTTTGAGAGATAGTTATTTTATAATATGGTAATCCTTATTTTAAAAATAAGTTCACTTCTGGAGTTTATTTTTAAAATGGAGGACTTTTGAACAAAGGTCTCTAACTCTAACCCTTTGTGACTTTCTAGGGAGAGGGTACATTTTGTCAATGTGGAAGAAAAACAAATCTGTTACAATTGAAAGAGGTATTAGGAATGACATGATGCAGGTAGCATTTGAGTATAAGTCTTGGGTGAGATAGTTGGATATTGGTAAAATGATCATGTTAAAGTCATGGGTTGATACCTAGAGTCCAGAGGAGAGTTTACATGAGGAGGTAAAGATGAACAGACTTATTTGGTGGGAGGCCTAGTAATGGAACCATCAACATAGGAGATGGCTAGAGAGGCATTCTTCCACTTTAAAACTGGAAAGAACTTTGATGTCTTTGAATCTGACTTCCAGTAGGAAGCATCTTGGAGGCCAAATACAGAGTTCAGGATTTAATTTCGGAAGTAAGGGGCTTTCTTTAAAAGCTTGGGGAAGTACTCATTGGTAGAAGTGTTACTGATGTATTTTAGAGTCGTGGACAGACCAGAGGCGGTGAAACCAGGCAGAATTAAGCCTAGAGGGAAGAAATGATCTAAGTAGGAAATTCTGTTAGGCTGGAGACACTTCTGCTATAGGCAAAGATGGTGATTTTCCAAGTTTAGTATATAAAAGCATCATCTGAGGAGAGGGTAAAATGCTTGTTTAAAAAGTCAGATTCATTGGCGCTTCTTTGATCTACTGATCCCAAAGCCCTGAGTGTGCTGTTCGTGGAGCTATTTTTTACTAAGTGCCTCAGATGACTTTGTAGGTAAATGTCAATCATCCTTATCTCAGCTGTCAGAGGTGTTTGCCAAAGACCAGGAACTTGAAGAAGTTGGTGCTCTGTGTATATATACAAAGTCTCCTCCTGTCTCCTCACAACTGGACCAATGAGCAGCATCACAATAAATGGAGAGAAGATTGAGGTTGTCAAAGAATTCACATTGCTTGGTTCTACAATC